TGACATCACTGGATCCCACAAGAAAGGTTCCAGGATCTGACAGAACAAGCCAAACAAGAAAAAAGGAAACAGATACTGGCGGGGGTAGGGGAACACACAGTATTGGCAGCAGCTGCAGCTTTACTCCTTTATAGACCAGAGTGTCCCACCTGAGCACCAAAGGGCTTGTCTACATAAAGTCACAAAGAGCAGGCAGAGGCGTCACATCTCTTCAGCTCTAAGGTTCACCCAGTTATAGGACCACAGGGAAACTCCCACAAAAGCAGCAAGCGCTTTCCACTGTGAGCAGATTTTTAGTAGCACACTAAGAAATGCTGTTGTTCCATTAGTGAAATGGGAAGTAAATGTTACCTACAGTTAAAAGAATAGACAGAGTTTAAGGCTGGTCTCAATTATTAGCAGCATTTATGTTACTCACCTCTGAATAACAGGGTCAAGAGAGAAGATTGCTGTGACAGGGAAACACGCATCACTGGATCCGCACATAAAACTTTCCTGAGGAGTGTGAGGCAGGGCTGAACCAAACATTCTACAACCTGGCCAGAGGGAAAACACACCATTATTTTACCTTCACCACACCTAAAGTGAGATAAATATACCATGTCTTTTTCTAAACTTTATGCTTTGTCATCATAGTCATGTGAAACTACAATGCAAATAAATATTAGTAATTACTTTCTGCTGAAATAAGCTTATACATAACATCTACTTACATATCTTATGGCTATACTTCTACATACATGTCTTATGGATATGTATTTTGTATTAGTGCATTATAGTTGTACATATTTGTGGTATTTGTTGTCACATATTTCTACATGCACACAGTATAACAATATAATTTGGTCAATATCCTTAAAGGAATTTTAAGATCAGGCTTCCTTTACAGAGACCCCTCTTTTAGAAATTTAAAAACAAAACATAAGTGAGATAGAGAGTATTACTTAGAAATTAACATCTAAGTACCCACCCAAATTCAGCTAAATTCAGTTTCAGAACTGATTAATATCACCACCAAGATACATTTAAACATTAAACATTAGTCTTACCTTGCCATCTTGACCCACACATTCATTTAAATACTCAATTATCTTGTCAATTAGGCGTAACTTTTTCACCGCAGCATGCATTTTAATATCTATAGGTTTAAAAAAAGTTATTAAAATTTAAATAAAAATTTTTGTAGTTTTAGTAACATTTTGAACTGGTATCCACAATTTTCAGATTATTAAAAATAATTACACCTGGTGTTGAAATTGGAGGATAAAAACTTTTTTTACTTTATATATGTCTGTACAATGTGAAACCACTTAAATTA